TCTAGCTTGTCACAGGTGTGGAAAGAATGGTGGGTGACATCGCTTTTAAAATGGGGTGTCCTACTAAGTTTTGAAAACACTGCAATAACTTTAACGCATCTACAATCCTGGCATTGAAAGGTGGCTTGATGGGCTGAAAGGAACATTGGGTTTCTCAGCAGCAGCGACAGGGAACTGTGGGTCCTCTCTCCACTTGGTAGCTCTGCCTTTGGCCTACTTGTGACTAGTTATCTGATCAACTTTATTTTTAGGAAAATTATAAAGTCTAGTGAAGTTGTTACTGTGGCAAATAATTATGTGTTGAACATTTAAGCCTTGAGACACGCCTCAACCCTAAAGTGACTAAAAGTCTGCAAGGGAAGCTCTTAGATTAAGAGAGCTCTTGCTGCTTTCCCTGCGGTTCCCAGTTCAGTTCCCAGCACCCACATCTGGTGGCTCATGACTGGCTGTATTTCCGGTTCCAGGAGACCCAATACCCTCTTCCAGCCTCTGAAAACACCCACACATACATACACACTCAACCAACCAACAACAGTAATACTAGTAGTAACACAATAGTACTAGTAGTAACAATCATTTTAAAGCAATTAAGATTCTTGAGTCCTGAAGCTGACAGTCTGGAAACAAATTATACATTATATATTAATAATTAATATATTGATTACCTACTATATGCTATTGATTATTTCTTTTCATAAATATGTCTTTTTCTCATTGTATTTGTATAAATGCTTTTCTTGTGTATGTGTCTGTGTCCCACATGTGTACCTGGTGCCAGTGGAGGCAGGAAGAGGACGTTGGATCTCCTGGAACTGAAGTTGCAGATGGTTGGGAGCTGCCGTGTGCAGCAAATGCTGTTAAAGTCTGAGCCATGTGTGTAGCACCAAATTTATCTCTTTACAACCTTTTCCATATCCTATAAAGTATGACCTGCTAGCTCATTTCCCAGACTGGATGACCAAAGCACAGAGATTCCATCATGCCCCTCGGTTAATAAGGTGTGCAATGCCATTCAGCTAGGTTTGAACTCCAATCAAATAACACTGACAGCTTGCTTTTCAACCACCACACAATTCCTCGTGAAGGGAAGACTGAATAATATAGTAATATGAACAAATGTTCATATTATTATCCATTAATAATATAGTAAAAGGTCTCACTCAGGCAAATAGCCCTAAGACAGCTTTCTGTCTGAGCTACTCAGATGGACTCACTCCAGCCAGACTCATCCAGTAAATATCCCATGCAAATTTCCTTCACCATTTCATAGAAAAATCTTGGTCCTTACCACTAATTTGAGCATTCTGATACACGGCTTTACTTCCTCTGAAAGGTAATTCCTTGAGTCCGCACCACTTCCTGGTCCTCCTTCATGCTCTTCTTATGTGGATGGTTAATATTTCGTGTGGTTCTATCCTTTTTCTTCAATCAGATTATTAGTGACTGAAGGCAGGGGCAATATCATGAGGGCTTCCATTTGCTCTCCCCAGGGCATGCGGGTGGAATTCCCCCTGAATTTCAACTATCTACGCCTGCTCCGGACTAACTCCCTAACAGACCATAATTTCTCCACCTTTATATTTTAATGTCTGGCATAGGATTTTCTGCTTAGCATTGTTGACTTTATGATGAAGGATAAAAACGTAGACAGGGGTGATGGGTTGGTGGATCAAGCGTTTGTCGCACAAGCCTAACCACTTGAGTTTCCAGAACCTGCACAGAAGCTGATGCTGTTCCACAGATGCCTGTGATCCAGGTCATCTAAAACCAGAAGGGGGTAGAGGCAGGGGAATTCCCTAGTTTATTCAGTCTATTCAGTCGTAAACAAAACAGATCTTATCTCAAATAAAGTAGAAGGGGAGGAGGCCTCTCCACAGGCCATGACACACATACAATAAATAATAAATGAAACAATACACTAGACACTCAGTTATGACTGGTTGTTATGTGCTTTCAGATTTTATCCAAAATAAGAAATAATCTACCTAGAAATACAATTGTGGGTGGGGAAGCTGACTGTCTCCCTCACCGATTGCAGCATCGGGAAAGTGAACCCTTGCCTGGGTCGCACAGTGGGGCTGACCCTATTGACCGGGGTGTGGGTGCAACAGGTTGACAGAAGGATGCCCTCTCCTTCCTGCCCCCTCATGTCCCTCATGACCCAGAACCAGGGTTGTGAGCTGTGCCACCCCATCTGTGATCTGCTGGAGTATGTGAAGCGGCCGGTCCTGGAACCAATGCTGCAGGGCCATGATATCCAGGAGGAGTCCCAGTGAGGGCCCAGCATCAATGGTGTAGGACAGCACAGCAGAACCCAGAGACCTCAAACAAAGTCAAAGATTCTTTGCAATGAACACTTGCACATAAAGAAATATGGAGAAAGGGGTTTACTGAGTGACTCACTGTCTCACACTACAGCTTCCATGACGAGACCGATTTTTCCTTTTTTTTCTTTTTTACCTCTTAAATTTTATTTTATTTTATTTTGGGGGTGGGGTTGCAAGAGCAGAAGGAGAATATGAAAGGATGGGTAAATGAATGGGATCAGGTTACAGGATAAGACACAAAGAATAAATGAAAAGAAAGTAAAAAAATAATAGAGCTCTTTCTTTAAAAAAAGAAAGACAAGGTTTACAAAAGTCTTTAAACTGACAGCACAAACATTTCAAACATCAACGCCCTCATTATGGTAGCCCTAAGCATCACTGTTATCAACCTTAGTTCTGCTTATTTGGAATTATCGAGTCCTACTCACACAAATCCTGATATAACTCAGTTATTACCAAAACTATGTACGAAGCAATGGCTCGCTTTTACAGCATCAGGCGATGACAAAGGGTGGTCACACAACTCTGCCTTAGCATAGAAGAACAACCCTGCCTGCCCATCTCAACACTGCTGTAGATATTTGCTGCACTTCGGGATCGCTGTTCTAAGAACGCCACAGGATAGGCAGGATGTCATAATAATTACTTCCTCCTTCCTGTACCATCACCGCTGTGGCAAACACAAGGTCTTTACTAGCGTGAGATTAGGCACTGTTATATAATTACAATGAGTTTTATCAAATCAGAGATGCCTTTAATTGTCAAGAGATTTGACCGAGATGTGTCTCAGAAGAATCCATGTGTTGAAGTCCTCAGTACCTCAGAAGGTGACCGTACATAGAGAGGTCTTAGAGAGGAATTAGGCTAAGTTCTCACGGTGTGGTTCTGCAGAGGAACACTTGCTAAGCTTGGACGAGGCTCTCAGTTTGAGTCTAAGTACCACACTAAGTAAATAACGTACAAACAATTGAGTTGAAACAGGTCATTAGACTGGGTACAGATCAAATATGACTGAAAATTAGGTCACAGATGGGGACAGAGGGAAGACTGGGTATAGGCACATGAAGATTTCATCCACAAGCTAAGGACACATTGATGGTGACAGGGAGTCTAGAACCATGAGAATCTCTGTGCATGAGCCTCCCGGGATGGACGGTTCCTGTCAAGGCAATCCTAAGAGTCTAATATGCCAAGTCCCTTCTCCTACCTTAGCCCACTCTACACTCACATTGTGTATGTCACTCAGATGGGTGTGTTACCCCCGTTGCAGACACACAGAGTGTAGTTTCAGAGGCGTTCAATGCCATCTCTGACATCAACAACCAGCGAGCGGAAACAGGATGCCGCTCAATCCCATCCACCTTCCAATTTCCAGGAGGATGGAATCGACAAGCCCTGGCTTTGCTCCAAGCTGTGCCCACAACTGGTTACAGGGCCTTCAGAAAGCCATTGTTCATTTGTTTGTTTGCTTGGTGTCTTCAATCTGTAACATGGAAGTTTGAATTGAACTAAGGGCTAAATAGGAAAAGCCTATGTGAGAGCAATTCCAGTCTAGCGCAAATCATTTTTTTAATCTAACTTTTAAAAATGGTCTCTGTAGACTCTTGTAAAAATCAGAGGCAAAGGCAATAATTTTGAGAGTCGCTAGCCCCACAGAATCCAAGCTTTTGCTGAAAGAAATGTATATACTTCAAAATATTTTTAGGCATGGGGAAGTCAATTCATTTCAACAGTGACTTTGTAGACAGTTTATCCCTCGGGCTCTTTCCTGCCGAAGATTCCTCTGTTCTAAGTTTTTTAAGGATTGCATGCGGATTTGTGAGCGAAGCACAGAACTGAATTTTTTTCTAAGAGAAAACTTGAATTCCAGTCTTTAATTTCTCGGTAATTAGATATTTGAAGAGGGGTGGATTCTGGACATTGGTATGAAAACCGAGGTAAGTGGCTTCCTGTTTGTCTGCCTAACAGGAAAGTTTACCACTAAATAAAAAACATCTCTGGAGTATCTGTCAACTTCTTGGAGAAAACTTGTTGCGCACACACACACACACACACACACACACACACACACTATCAGCGGGTCAATTATTAGCTCACAGTGTTAACCTATCCTTTTCTCTTCAGTAACCTCTTAAAATCTGAACTAGTCCATGGGTAGATGATTTGTGTTTCTTTTACCTTAGTTAAAGCGTTCTTTGAAAGAGGCAGGTACACTGTGGAAAATAATCTGTGTGGTAACCGAGTATGCCCAGCTCTTTGGCTGTAAGCAGGGTTGGAATTGTGAATCATCATTTTTAAGTTCAATAAATGCAGTCTGCCCAAGAGGGAGGAAATGGATATCTATAAACCCCAACTTCCATCCAATCACATACAGACAAATCAACCTTCAGACAAATCAGATGTCTTCATTTAAAGCTTACCTGGACTTGGCACACTGCCCAGCTTCTCCAAAACTACTGACAATAATACTTTCCCTAACAGTACGCTTACAAAAAAAAAAGAAAAGAAAAAAAGAAAGAGAAAGAAAAAAGCTTGTGCTATGAATGCTTTTTAAAAATTAACAAGAAACAAGGAACTTTTTAGCTCAGAAAAGGCAATTGCTTAGGAGAAGGAAAGTTTGCTTCTGAGTTAGCAGCTTGTGGAAACAGGATTAGTGGGTGGGATTGGGGTGTGCTCTGCCCATAAATAGAGGCTCAGGGCTCTGCTGGCACACTCAGAAGCTTGGACGGCAACCCGGGCAGCTCACACATCGCAGGAGGGTGGGGAACCCAGGTAAGACAATAGCTTTGGCGGCGCACCTGCTAGAGTAAGCCACAGCCTCTGATTTCTGTGCACAGATGCAGGCAGGCAGTCAACCGACAAGATCTGAGCAAGGTTCCCAGGGCAGGAAGCAGGCCCTGGAAGGAGTATCACCCAAGCCACGGAGGCTTGCTGAGGCCTTTCTTTGGTCAAAAGTAGCCGAGTATCGCGTTCCTACCTAGGCTCAGGGTGGCGCCTTGCCCGTCAGGAAACTGGAGGTTTGTGGGTGGGTGGGTGGGTGGGTGAACTGAAGAGTTTTCAAACCTGAGTTAGGGTGCGGGACATCCTGTACCAGTCTCTGCTCCTCTCCCACTAGGTAACGCAAAGGTCACGGGCTCCTCCACTCTGAAGACTCAGCTCAGATTCCCCTCCAGGGAATATATTATTACAAAGCAGGAAACGGTTTTCTTCACGCTTCTGCAGTTTTTAAGGCTGTCAGAGGGGAGAGCTGGGCACTTTCTGAAGTAACAGAAATAGAGTCACGGGAACCTCCAGCAAGGACATTCACTAACACAAGATGGGGACAGAGCGACGGGGGAAAGACACCAGTTCCAGAGAGTCAGTGGTCCAGAGTGGGGAGGGACGGCGAATTATCAAAGCCTTGCAGACTTCAAGCATCGGGCTCTGTGGGCTTTGAGAGATTTATGCAGATGTTTGTAGAGTAGAATCTTTGCAGAACAGACCATTTTCATCATGAGAACTCAGCAGAGTGGATCCCAGAAAGCCATCACGGAGTGGGATGTTTGTACAGCAGTTATTAGCCTTCCTTGAAGCATCCTGTCATAAAACACACGTGACATCACTAGTGCCAGCCCGTGATGTGCACGGCTATTGCAGGGAGTCCTATGAGACATCTGCACAGCAAGAATTGGCAGTGGATTAAATGCAGCACTTGGCCACCGATTTACTTTATATTTTCGATATATGTAAATGCTTATTCAAACAATATATATTCAATATTTGTTGATAACGTCAAAGAAGTTTATCTATACTTCTGAATCAGCTTGTGTTCCAGAAATGCAATAATCGTCACATAGGCACCTCATCCGTTTTTAAATATTGAGCAGAAGACACGCCAGCAAGAGAGCTGCTGGGCACCGCTAGTTTCTAGTATGCTTGAGCTGCTACTGCAGAACTGTAGGAGACAGAGATTGTTATTAGCACTCCTGCATCCTGGGAATGTAGAAATTTATGACATAGTATCCCTGCTTTAGCTCGTATCTTTTCTGAGCTGCTGTGTGTCTGTACACTATGGCTCAGATAACCATTGGCCAGTTTAATTTAAGGCATCACTTGGGTTGATAACAGGGACGTCTTTTTAATTATCAGGTGTCTAGCAAGAGTTTTTGTTCAAGTTCACGAATGATAAAGATCTTTCCTCTTAGTTAAACCATGACCATCTACCCTGCTTTCTTTGTTGTGTCTATTGGACGTCATCAAGAACTATCCAGATACTAGTAGGGGGCTCTGGAGCTCTGCATTGCTTTCTGGGGAAACTTCAGCATCAGGCTTCAGGCGTTTCTAGAATTGAAGTCTGCTGCAGCCCGTGGTATGGCCATAGGTACTTGGAGTGAAAAACAACCTACGTGGCCTTCCTTCCTCTTCTCAAGCTATGTGTCTGTCTGGTCATTTAAAGCCCTATTTGTGATCATCTGCTGCAGCTTTTCCTAGTAGTTAACTGCCAAATAGCAGAGGGAGAGAAAGGGGAATTTAACAAAGGCACAGCCTGGGTTTTATTCTCTGTGTCGTGCACATCACAGAGTACATCCGTGCACTGGCGTGTATGCCCTCCCCTGCCACATAGGTCCAGACAAGGGCAGAGAATGTTCATTGTATGAGTCTTGGTTTGTTCATAACAAATACCATTTGAGCAGATCCCCCAGTAGGGAAATGGAATGAGTCTTCCGAGAAGCAGCAAAGCTAGCATGCTCTAAATGAAGTAAGAATGTGAACACATCATTCATATCCATTCTTCAAGGGCAATGTGCCCATTTCCTCAGAAGGGCCAAGATGTCTATGCTTCGGGTGCCTGTTTCAGGGAGGGAGATGGGAGCTGGCACTTCCGCTCTGAACTCATCCCCAAAATCTCCTCATCTCTCTGAACTTTAGAATCTTCATCTATACCGTGAGAAATCAGGGAAGGGGAAGCAGAGGTACCACCAAATTACCTACCAGTAATATGCTTTTTTAGTATGACTTTAAGCGTATTATTTCCTCAGCTGCAAAGTATATGCATCTACCTAGTTACATATTTTATTAAAATATATATTATTCTATTATAAGATAAGATACAACAAATATTGTACATCCACTGATCTGAAAAGTGGAGACGGTGGTGGCGGATAGGCAATAGATGGGTAGACACCACGGGAAGTATCGCTGGGAAGCTCCATCTTTCCACTCGGGTCTCAAGTCTTATCTCAGTGTAATCTGGCTCCCATTTTCACTGGTTTCACTGCTGTGAAACACTATGCAGATTCCATTTCCTTTCTGTTTCTTTCTCGTGTAGATTCGCCATGGAGAAAATTTCAGTGTCAGCATTCCTGCTTCTTGTGGCCCTCTCCTATACTCTGGCCAAAGACACCACTGTCAAAGCTGGAGCCAAGAAGGACTCGAAGCCCAAACTGCCCCAGACCCTCTCCAGAGGTACAAGTCTAATTCTTGTTGCCTCCCACCTGCAATTTAAGTCCTAAAGACTCTCTGACTCCTGGTATTAAATGTGTACACTGAAGATAAGTGGAGATTGTTTTTCTTTCTTTCTAGATTTATCATAGTTAATAATCTGGTCTCCTTGCTCCGAAGGCTTCTGTTCTTTAGTACTAAAGGACATTTTATCCAGGTCTTTATTATTACGTCCAGAAGGGTTGGGCCTGAAATGGATTTAAAGATACCAACTCCTCTTGTTCTAGGTTGGGGCGATCAACTCATTTGGACTCAGACTTACGAAGAAGCCTTATACAAATCCAAGACTAGGTAAGGCAGCCCGTTGCGTGGAGCGCCCTCGAGCCTCTTGTGAGCGCCATCTAGTGATGACTATCAGATGTTCATGGCATCCTATTAACCATCCCATCTCCGTCTCTCTTGCAGCAACAGACCCTTGATGATAATTCATCACCTGGACGAATGCCCACACAGTCAAGGTAATCTGCTCTTCGACATTTTCTCTAGAGGCTTTTATGTCAGGTCAGGGTTCGGATCGCTCATCTTTACATTCCTAGAACCTAGCACCGCTGAACAAGGAAGAAGATTTTAAATACTTTAAAACAAGATAGAATATTTAAAGAGAAATGTGAACGTTTCCATGTTTTGAACTAACCACTGGTGCATATTTTGAGTAAGAAATGCTGGGGTTCATGCTCAACTTCTTCTGTCTTTTTCCTGATACATCAGCAAACACCATTGGGTTTCCTATTACATAGATCTCTAGGCATCTTCATACACATGCAACCTGCCTGGTTGGACAGTTTCCCCACATTGGGTGTAATAAGATCATTGCAGTCTTCACCTAATGATTCTAGCACAGGGGGCTCCTTGTGTTCCACCGGTCTCTGGGTATTAGGTAGCCCCTCTTGCCAATTCCAGCCACTTCGCACTGCCTCTATGCTTCCACCTTAGTCCAAGCCAGCACCACACCTTGTCCACGATACTACAGCTGATCACATCAGTCTGCCTTCTACACAGAAGCCAGCCTGGAGCTGTTCAACACAAATCAGACGCTTTCCTCATGTGGCCCAGTGGCTTCTCATCACAAACAAAATTCAAGCCGGGTTCCTGGCTGTGGCCTTTGAGGCTAGACCCCATCTGATCAGGGCATGGTTTTCCTGTCCTGTCAGGATCACACATTCCCACACTATATTCAATTCATCCCTATTCACCAAGGCTGTTGCTCGTACAGCGCCCTCTGCTGGCAGTGACCTCTCTCCGATAGTCTGGGCAACCTGTGCCCCAAATAAACCACACTGTGACCTCAGTATCGCCTCCTGAAAGAGATCTTCAAGCCTTTGTCTTACTTTATGTTTCCCCTATGTATTCAAGGTATTTTCCCTAGTATATAAAATCCTGCCTGCTATAATGTAGCTATTCGGTAACACCACACATCATTTGCTGGAGGGGCACCGCTGAACAAGGAAGAAGATTTTAAATACTTTAAAACAAGATAGAATATTTAAAGAGAAATGTGAACATTTCCATGTTTTGAACTAACTACGTCCGTATTGTATTAAAAACACTATTCAAATTAAAAGACTACAGAAAGTAAGGGCTCTAACCAAAACCGAGATAAATGCTCAAGGACCCTTTTTTTTTTTCTTATATTACAGCTTTAAAGAAGGTGTTTGCTGAAAGTAAGGAAATCCAGAAATTGGCGGACCAGTTTGTTCTCCTCAACCTGGTTGTAAGTATCCCCTCACCACCATCTACATCTCTGGGTTCCATTTCTGATTCACTTTTCTCGTGCATCTTGCTGCATTAACGAGCATCTCTTCCAAGTACCTATCTCCCAGATGAGAAACCTAGAATTCTCTACTTTGTTAATAATCTTTTTTGGAAACTTCTCGTTCCTGGAATTGAGGCCAGCACCTGGTATGTGCTGAGGAATGATCTATCACTGAGCCATGTCCGCAGCCTGTTTCTTAGTGTGGCACACTTACGTTTTAATGTGGTAATTAATAATCCTATCTGAAAAATATAGTCAATGGTCAGCATTTCTGTGCTGGTTTTTAGTAACTGGTTTTTCTGTTCTGCCCATCTTCTCCAGTCCTGCCTCACGGGTTCCTGTCACTTCTTTCTCTTTATGGGAGAGAGCTCTGGTTGTCCAGATCTAACCACGTGTTCTGGGCGTCAGCTCCATAGCTCCCGTCTCATTTTCTCCTCACCAGCCCTCCTGCCTTAGCCACGCTTCTCCTCTGTAACAATGGCCTCCTACCCATCCAGTATAGCTCCCCCGAGTCTCCCTCCTAGGCTTGCTCTGTTCTCTGAGCAGCAGATCCGTTTGCTGCCTGCCTCCGGTCCTGTATCACACACATGCCGCTCTTTCCACTCTGTGATGCTTCTTCTAGCTTGTTGTGGAATCTTTGGAGAAGAGACTCCCTGGCAGTGCCTCAGGCCCATGGTGCACCAAGACATAATCTCTTTCCTGATGAGTTTTTTAAAATAGCATCATGGATTCCACTGTGACATTTCCATATGCACTTTGTGTTGGTGCCCCCACCCTTGCAAGCCCCTTTGCTCATCCCTAAAGCCCTCCTTCTGTTTATCTATTCTATAGCCCTTTTCCAGACCCCACCCCCCAGCCCTCTCTTAATAACGGTTTCACTGCTCACAGTGCCCTTTCTAACTCCAGGAAAATCTAACAAACACATTTTTGCATTGGGAAGTTTGAAAATACCTAAAGAATAAACAAGCAGCTGTGTTTTGTTTTGTTTTTTGTCCTCAGTATGAAACGACAGACAAGCACCTCTCTCCTGACGGCCAGTATGTCCCCAGAATTCTGTTTGTGGGTAAGTGGGGGTCCCAGTGACATAAGACACACTGAAGATTATGCAACTGCAGCCACATCCTATCTTTCCCCACATCAGACCTCCCCATCCATGTCCCCAATCTCACCAGTCACTTCACTAGAAGCAAGGTCACCAACCTCCAGCAAGGAGTATGCCATTCTAGGCAGGATAACGCTAAGTCTCACAATACTACACTTTCGCCAGAAAGTGTCAATGAACTACTATCTCCACAAATTACTTCTTTCCTCCAAACAAGTAAATCTCTGCTTCTGGTAATTCATTATCTGTTGGTCCTGGTCCAGCATTCTGAAGAGACAAAGACAGTCGCTCCGGGATGAGACGGAATGCAAACACAGCTGGTTCTTACATGCCATCTCCCCTATTTCAGGACATTCATTTCGTCACCCCTCGTTTCTCAGTCTTAGGCATCCAGCTCAGGGCTTGTGCATAGCTGGTAAATGCTCTACCATCGAGCCCAGCCCCACCCCTCAGCCACCCCTTTTAAAACCTGCTGTCTTTACCTGTCCACATTCCCTTTCCGTTCTTCTGGATTGGATGGACCACACCTTTAAAGTGTTCTTTCTCGTTAGTTACATCGTTTCAACTTACATAAAAGTGCGATAGAATGACTGAATTTGTTTGGGGTTATTCAGTTGTCTTTTTTTTTGGGGGGGGGGACAGTTTCCGTAGTCCAGGCTAGCCTCAAACTCTCTATGTGGCCAAGAATAATCTTGAACCCCTTATCCTCCTACCCCTAGGCTCCAAGCGCTGGGGTTACTGGCATGCACCAGTATGTTTAATAGATGGATTTAAACCCACAGTTAAAGAGAGATAAAGGGGAAAATTCAAGTCTCTACTTTTAAAATGCAGCTAATTAACCACAAAGAATTAAAAGAAAATAAAAATGGAAGGCATGATGTGTAGTTATCCGACCCTGCCATACTTAACGACTTTTATTATTTTTGTCTGAAGAAGGAAAAAAGACTGGGGATACAGCGCAGTAGGCAGGTGCTTGTCCAGGATGCATGCGGCCTTGACTTTCATCGTATAAACTGGGCATGGGGACACAGATCCAAAATTCCAGCACTCAGGAGCCTGAGGCAGGAAAATTGTAATGATTTGGGGCCAACCTGGTATACATTGTGGATTTCTTGCTAGCCTGGGCTACAGAGTGAAACTCTGTTCAAAACAAACAAGCAAACAAAAAAAAAATCAATGAAAATAAACAAAAAGACAGAGAACCAATCTGATCCAGGTTAACCTTTTGTGTCCCCATCACCCCTCCCCAGCAAATCACAGGCTTAAGCATACCCAGATACCAGCATTAGAAGTAGCCAATTACCAAGCAACGAAACCCCTTAAAATTCTCACGGTAGTTCTGTAATACAGAATACTACATTTTCACCAAGAAAACCCACAGAAACAAGCACTGTCCTTATTTTCAGGGCACTGAGGGTGGCAGGGCCAGAAACCTTTTCCATAAACAGCACCGTGCAGCTGTTCAATGTCCCCTACACTGCTCTACAGGGTTCGGGTGATAGCTCCCGGGGCGGGTAGCAGAACAGATAAGTGGGGCGCCACACTGCAGGGCATGGGCACATGATATAGGCTCCCTGGAAGCAAAAAAGGGTTCCATCCTTGTTCTTTATCTCCACAGACCCATCCCTGACAGTGAGAGCAGACATCACTGGAAGATACTCAAACCGTCTCTACGCTTACGAACCTTCTGACACAGCTCTGTGTAAGTCCGAGATCCCTATTGCTGTAGTGCCGGGGAGAGGCTCGGCTGAGGTGGGCTAGACCTCTGCCCAGGGGTGCCAGAGAATCAGTCCGACCCAAACTTTTTCCCTTTCGGCAAACCATATGCCCTACTCCTCTGCCCACTTTGTAAACATCTCGATGAAGGATAAATCATTCAGTCGCGGTACCGGCTCCTCCAGGAGAACGTAGCAGCAACACTGTCTGCCCCTCAACTTTTCTCCCTTCACAACTGCACACGAACCCCTCCCTCTGTCACAGACCTGACGCAGAAGAAGTCAGAAGAGGGTTTCTTCGATCCCCTCTCCCCAAATAACGACAAGGGAAATCATTTAGTCCGTGTTGCGGTGGTGAAACTCAGGTGCAATTTGAGGTCATGGGCAAATGATCTGGAGAGTGGCTTACTCACTGTGGCGGCTGTCAGAGGGGCGGGGAGAGATGAGGGATAGGGAAAGAGGCTGATTTATGGCGGATGAGGCTGGCAATTCAAGAACTGTGACACCTGACTGGTTCCTCTGGGAAGAAACTGGACTTTGTTCCAGGACCGGTCCTAGTCACTGGCAGTGGCTCCTAGAACCTTCCTATCTGAACCCTAGTCATCACCGGCATGCTGCATGGGCTTTTGAAACTCAAAGCCTGCCCACCCGCAGTGGCAAGCCTCCAACAAGGCCACACCTCCTAGTCCTTCCCGAACAGTTTCACCACCCGGGGACCAAGCATTCAAATATTTGAGCCGGTGGGGGCCACGCTCATTTGAACCGCAATGCGCTTTTTAATGGTGACTTGACTGTCCTGATTTTCCATCCCTCAGTGCTGGACAACATGAAGAAAGCTCTCAAGCTGCTGAAGACAGAATTGTAGAGCCAGCTGTGCAAGGCGCCCAGCGACGGGAAGGGGGAAGTACTGTGAACTGCTGACCACATTACAGCTGAATGTTACGACAGATGTATTTTTTAAACACCCATACAGGGGGAAATATTCTTATCTACTACAGTGAAGCATGATTTTCTAAAAAATAAAGTCTTGTGAGTACTCCAACCAGAGAGCTGCTGTAGTGTTTCATAGTAAAGCGATCTGGAGCAGCCTGGAGCAGCCCACGGCTAAGCTTTTCTTAGAGGTGAGACCACTGTACTGACCTAGAGGCAAGCGTGAACTGCAGAGAGGGGTGTTGCCTCAAAATTCAAACTATTTTTTCAAATAAAAAAGGAAGGGAGGGAGGGAGGGTCAGAGGGAGGGTGGAAGGGTGACAGAAAGGGAAGGAAAGGAAAGGTTACTTGGATCCGGTTTTACTCATTAAACAGGAACATTGGACACACACACAAAATGCTCATAAAAAAAAAACAAGACAAAGCTAATTCAGACAACTAAGATAGATTGTTGCCGTCATCCTAACACATTATATGATATTCTTGATGAGAGACAAGCTCACCCTGCAGAAGCATTACACAGCACATGCGTTACTGTAAAAGAGAATACAGGAAGGCACCCCCCCACTCCCACACAAAATGGAATCTCATGTAGAAGCAGCCATTCCCATACTAGCTAGAAGCCCCTAGGACACACTTAGTAACTCGATTATAGGCAGGTTTTTCTCCACTCGGTGATCTCAGAGAAAGCTTCTAGCATATCAGATGCTGTCTCCAGAAGCCTCTCCCACTAGCGCAGTCACTAGCGGACCTGTTCTTAGCTCGCACACTGAGAACACCTTAGAGAAGCCGAGAAGTGCCCTTGAGCAGGCGTGATCTGGAGCAGCCAGAAACCAGGTCTTGAGAGGGCTCAGACTCATTGTCTCAGCTTGTCCACGTGTGACCAGGAGGAAGCAAAGGGCAGTGAGAGTCAGCGGGTGGGGTTGAGGTCAGAGGTCACTCCTGTCTGGAGAAGGGAGGAGGCACAGCATCAGGCAGTGAGGCGGCTTTGTCTGGCTTCACTCTTACTGGCTAGCCACACTGAATCTCACATCATCATGGGGACTTCCTGCCCGTCACGCCCCGGCCCCTGATGTGCTTGGGGTGGCTAACATCACTGCAGAGTTCCTTTTCTGAACAGAAGCAATGGCCTTGTTAATTTTTCCCAGAGTGCTCTCCCACCTCTCACAAGCAAGAAGCGCACATGTGCTGAAAAAGGGAAATTATTCCACTTAGGAAGCTCCAGAGGGGCAGACAAGATGGCTCAGCAGGTGAGAGCTCCTGCCACTAAGGATCTAACTTCAGTCCCTGGGATCTACATGGGGGAAGGAAAAAACAGCTCCTGCAAGCTGTGCCCTGGCCTCCACATGTGAGCTGGGACATGCACGTGTATGTGCACACACACACAACAAACAAACAAATGTTGGGGTCTAGAGAGGTGGCTCAGAGGTTAAGAGGACTTACTGTTATTGCAGAAGACCCAGGTTCAGTTCCCAGTACCCATAAGGTGGCTCACAAGTGCCTATGACTCCAGTTCCAAGATCTCACACATTCTTGTGGTTTCTCTGGGCACTGAGCATGCATGTGGTGCCCATACATACATCATACATACATACATACATGCATACAGGCAAAACACACAATACACATAAGCTAAAAATAAATCTTTAAAATTCTTTTAAAAATAATGAGCAGGGAAAACTGGAAGAGATCATATAAAAAGAACTGAAGAGTTCCTATCTTACATTTATAACTACAGGAAATATGAAATCTGTGCAGCCAAAACCTAAAAGAGCTGGCGATGCCACTCCGAGGGCACATGTTATAGAACTCGCTCATGGCAACATCAGCAAGGCCACTCTTCCCACCAACTCCAACTCCCAACACTCAAAATCTTCCAACTGCACTTAAAGTTAAGGTCAAATTGTACCTAGAGTATTTATTTGACAGATAATCACAAGACTGGAGCTGAGTGCGGAGAGTTTTATGTCTAAAGGCTGAAGAAAAATCTCAGTAACCATGGGAACATAAAATGGTACGAAAAACAGGCCAGTGGTGCCTCAAGCTCTAAGCGCGAAGTAAGAACCCAGGTTGGCAATGCATGTCTGTGTGTGTGCACATGCGTGTGCCCATGCTCAGCGCTATTCCCCGCAGGTAAAGGTGGAAGCAAACCATGTGTCCACCAGTGGACAGGGGGAGACAAGCTACAGCTCAGAGGTACCATGGGTACTGCCAGGTGAGCAGGGCAGAAATCCTGGCCTGTGTTACTGTGCAGAAGAGCAAATCTGGTCATTAAGGGCCGGGGAAGGGGGACAAAGGGTGCTTTTACTGCCCAATGGATGTGGCATTCTAGTTTGCAAGACAAATGAGACCGGCCTCATAGGCTAGTGTGAATGTCGGTCTCTAACATTAGGCAGTGTAGCCTTGTGGGAGGAGGAGAGTCACTGCGGGTGGACTTCGAGGTTTCAGAAGCCCAGGCCAGGGCCAGTCTCCCTCTGTCTCAGGCTTGTGGGGAGGCTGAGTTCTGAGTTGCTCCAGCGTGCCTGTCTATTGGGTGCCTTCCCCTCCACCATGACGGACACGGACCCACCCTCTGAAACTGTAAGCAAAGCCATAAATAAATGCTTTCTTTTATATGTCACCTTGGCCATGGCATCTCTTCACAGAAATAAGAAAGTAAATAAGGGGATGGAGAGATGGCTCAGTGGTTAAGAGCACTGGCTGCTCTTCCAGAGGACTGGGGTTCAGTTAGCAGCAACCACATGTAATAGGATCTGTAATAGGATCTGATGTCGTCTTCTGGCTTGTAGGTATATATGCAGAGTACTCATATAGAAAATATAAATAATTTTTAAAAAGTAAATAAACCAGATAGTGAGAATTGTGAAATACAAATGGAAGTAATGTCATATATGTGTATAATGGTTAAAATAATGAACTTGTGTGTGTGTTATCTCTATTTTTCCAGCTTTATCTTAGACCCTGCAAGTGAGAGAGGCAGAAAGAAAACTGGCTTTAACTGACTGAGGGCAAACCTATAATCCAGCCCATAGGAAGAAGAAGCAAACAAATCTTTTCAAGCATGAGGCCAGCCTGCTCTATATAGTGAGTTGCAAGGTAGCCAGGACTACATAGAAAGTTCTGGCTTAAAAAAGAATGTTGCTAGCATAGATCAGCCAGTGAACACACTGGGATAAGCCACCGGCACCTGCTGCAGAACCAATTCTGCTCAAACGATCACCTCATCTGCTTTGATTTGGGTTTGTTTTTGTTTTCCCCTCGCCGTCAGTAATTTTAAGTACCTGCTGAGGTCTTTTCATCATCACTCCTGAGAACTGAACATGGAGCAGGAAGGGCAGAAAAAGTTCTGAGCGAGACCAGAACTCTCCTCATTCAGTTTAAGAAGCTGTGAGCACGTCAGCTTAGTAGATGGCCCCTTGCCAAGTTATGACCTCATCTCTTCTAAAAGAATGAGATACTGAGAGCAAGCAAAGGCAGGCAGTTTTGCCCTCCACAGAAGGCAAAGTCCATCCTGTGACACAAACTTTACCTGTGCAGCTCCCTCGAGGACTCATTCAGGAATGAATTTCCAAGTTGTCCCTAAGGGAAGTAGTGACAGCAGCTGGATTCAAAGCCGGGGAGTCCGACTTTCCCCTCTCCAGCCGTCTCAAGGACTACTGTGCCCAGGTATGACGGGACAATCAAGAAAAACTGCAGCTCGGGGCTGGAGAAATGCCACAGTGGTCAAGAGCACTTGCTGCTCTACAAGAGGATCCTAGTTCAGTTTCCAGCACCCACAACAGGCGGTTCAGAACTGGCTGTGACTCCAGATCCAAGGGATCCAACACCCCCTCCTGACTTGCATAAACTCTGTACTGACATGCACATTAACCCACACACAAACACATATACACATAATTAAAAACTAACTTCAAAAGTTAAAAGAAAGATGAAAATGGCACTAGCCTCGTCCTCTCCCATCCCTTTCCCGCAAACACTGCCTGCATAACCCCCCTCACTAGCCAGAAGCCTCGTAAACTTGCTCTTTAATGCTGACGTCACCCCATAAAGCCATCCCTGCACAAGCAGTCACGTCTATACAGATACAATGTGTTTAATGTGTTTCATTCTCAGTATTTTCTCAGCTAAAAAGTCAAATAGCTTCACATATTTAATGTATTTACAAAGTGATAAATTAACTGAAGCAGGGTTAAACAAATATTTAGGGATACTGAAGAAGGAGGGCTTGGCTCACAGAAACCGAGAACTGAATGCCTGCCTGGCTTCCTCTCTCTCTGGAAGGTTCCCTCTGGTGCTGTATTTTCAAGGTTGAGCATGCAGAACTGGTTTTCACAGCAAACACTATGTTGTCCCCAGAGCAAAGTATCAGAGATGAACTTCACCCATGGCAAGCTCAGATGGGAGAGATTACAGTCAACCCTTTCCCCTCTGCCCTAGCAGTAAATTCCTGAGCTAAAATTACACCTTTCACACCAAGGTTGACTGAAAAAAAAAATGTTCCGAGGAACATTCTTCTGAAGGGAACATGTACACAGGGCAATCAGA